TTCCAGGCCTGTCTCTAGCGAGCCCAGTTTTATCCAGTTCCCCCTTCAGATGAAGTTTAAAGCCTTTGCGGTGAGCCCTGCTAACTCCTGTGCAAAGATCCTTTTGCCCCTTGGAGACACATGTACCCCGTCTGTTGCCAGCAGGTCTGGTGTCATGTACACCGACTCATGATCAAAAACCCAAAATCCTGCCAGTGACATGAGGCTCAGAGCCAGGTATTAATCTGCAGGCTCTTCCTGTTTCTCCCATCGTCATTCCTGCAACTGGCAGGATAGAGGAGAACACTGCTTGTACCCCTGATCCCTTAACCAGTCATCCCGTAAGTCATTCAGGCTGGAAGGAACCTCAAGAGGTCCCTGGTCCAACCTCCTCCTCTGCAGGCTCAGCTGAGGGCTCAGTTGGGTCTGGATAAAGAAAACTTCCAAGGGCAGAGATTGCACAACCCCTCGGGGCCACCAGATCTAATCCCTGAATTTTTTCATTGGGAAAGTGTGTCCTTACTTTTAGTCTGAACTTCTCATGTTTTAACTCTTGCTTTGCGTCTCGTCCTCCCACCGTGGCCCTCTGCGAAGAGCCCAGATTCCTTGTCTTGCTGACCTCCTTTTAGGTGCTGGGGGGCTTTGAGGTTCCTCTCGAAAGCTGTCTGTGCCCCAGACTGGTCTGGCCCTTGTCCTGCAGCCCCTCCAGGGTGAGTACTCAAGCCCTGACCTTCTAAGGGGCTGTCTGCTAAACTCGCTCCAGTTTAGCATCCTCTTTCCGGTACTGGGGGATCCAAAACTGGACATGATACCCTAGATGGAGTCAAATGAGTGCCAAGAAAGGAGGGGATGATCAGTTCCCTCTGTCTCCTGGCTCTGCTCCTGGTCACACAGCCCAGGATGTTGCTGGCCCCCGTTGCTGCCAGGGCACACTGCTGGCTCACACTCGGCTCCCTGCGGCCAAGATGCCATGGGGCTTCTCAGCAAAGCTGCTCCCCCCAATCAAGACCCTGCCAGCACCGCTGCAGGGAGCCCGTCCTTCCCAGGTGCAGGACCTCAAGCTTGTCCCTGTTGACTTTCATAAGGTCCCTGACGGCACGTTCCTCCAGCCTGTCTGGGTCCCTCGGGAGGCAGCCCCTTCCTCCAGCGTAACAACTGGCTCTGGCCTTATGCAGGTGCTGTGAATAACTGCATTGTCGGCAGAGTCAATAAACCACAGAAAGTGCGGGGGTTTCCCCCCTTCCCATTTTTAATCTTTTCCGTTTGCTGCGTGCTTGGAGATCTACTTGCAGTAGTAGAGCAGAGCAAAGAAATTTGCAGGCTTAAGAACAGTGTTTAAATTGATAGCGTAATTCTAAATTTGTATTGGCCTAGCTGCTTTTTCTTCTCAATGGGGTAAAACCTGTGATCTGGGATCACGGTGTTGGAGGAAGTAGAGCTGGAGCATACCTGACAGGTCATCTAGTTCACATGTAACGCGGGATTTCTCTGATGGATCCGTTCCCTAACGTGTTCTCTGTGGACAGTGTCGAGGGTTCCTTCGTTCCCTTGGAGGGTAGCTGCCTCTCGCCACAAAGACGTTTTTTCATTATGCTTAACACAAGAGTTTCCTTTCTTAACTTCTTCCTATTATTCCTGATTGTCACTTGCGTCATCCCTAAGCAACCCAGCCGTTCGTGTTCCTGTGGTAAATACTGTAAAACTGTCTACTTAACTGGGTTTGTTCTGTGGTAGAATTCATAGCCGGTCAGCTGAATTTTTGCCATTAGATGTCACTTCGTGTACAGCAGACTGCTTTTAAAAGACTTGATCTTTATTTAGCCTCCCAGGAAAATGGAGGAGGGAATTGGGAGATGTAGGAGAGAGTCTGGTAGTATGCTTTGAGATAACTACTTCTTAAATAGCATGTTGGATATGCCTTTACTAAAAGCAGCACAGAAGGAAACATAAGATTTTTGACTTAACTCCAACAACCAACAGATGATGCTGTGACCTTAAGCATATATAAATATGTTTAGCAGCTGCTGTGTAACATATTTATAAGTGTTTAGTGACCTGGAGGTTAATCAAAATGAGTTTGGTGATCTCAGCTCAGTTCTTAATGGACTCCACTTCATATTATAGCACTGATGCAGCACAATTTGTCACAGTCGGCAGTCTTTACTCAAAGGAGGCCCACTGTGGAGTGAGAATTAAAGGCTCAAGTAATACCTGATTATTTCTCCCTAAAGAAACTTTCCGTTCCAAGCCATCATAGAGCAGAATAATATGTGGAGGAGCTCTGTACTGCGCGCTGCACCCAGTCTCGGGATTAAAGAACGTTTACTCTTGCAGGACGTCGCCGTTCAGCGTGACTGAATTGGCTCGCGCAGCTGCGGTCAGTGCTTTGGTAGGGGACGGAGTTCTGGCAGGATGGGTGCCGAGACTTTTTGCTTGCCAGGCTCTTTACAGAGATGGAGATCCGCGCCCCTTCCGAGTGTGGCATTACGTGGGAGAATGAAAGGGAAGGGTATTGCCTGGCCAGATGAAATCCTGGAATTAGTTTCTGCCATTCAGGTCTTTCTGGGTACAGAAGCAAATTTTTTTAGACTTCAGTTGTTTTCTTGCTGTCCTGGCCAAAGCTAGTATATTCCTTTTATTTAATTTCCACTCTCTGTCTAAACTGGGAATAGTTTTCCTGCGTTTTGATTTAAAGCTGTTGTACAGCAGTTTGCTTTCACGAGCTACAATTGAGATTGATGTCCATAGTGGGTAACATGAAATAGGTTGTGCCTCAATTTGAGACAATGAACAGCCCCACAGCTTAGAAGACAGACATGCTATAGAAAGTAATAGTACTGAAATATTAGTAGGTAAGGACCAATTTCAGCCTACCTGCAAGGTGCGTATCTCCTGTGTATTTGTAAAGGAAAAGAAGGGCATTGGAGAGGGAGGTACCTGTAGGGACTCCTGTCTTTTCCAGAATCCCAGCCTTACTCCATAGAAGAACCTTTCAAAAACTATTACTTCTTTTTCAAAGTGTAAAAATGCACTTGCACACTTTCTTCATGTTCACTAGCAACTTTACCCAGTAAGGGAAAGGATCTCCCTTATCCAGCGTAGAAAGAACTTTTCAGTTACCTGCATTTGTTGTAACAGAGCAATTTTCAGCTAGAAAAGGGGGATGGGGTGTGTCTAAGGTACAATATTTACATAAGAAAAGCTTGATTGTGTGACTGAAATCTTTTAAAGTTGTTGCCAAATGGTCCTGCTCTTCTCTTTTCCCTTTGTAATTTTCCCTCGGAGCATTGCACCACTGTGCATTTTAAATCTTTTCCCTCCACTACTCGTTGCAAGCTTCATCAGGGAAATGACATTGTATGGCAGTTGTCTCCTTCATATCAAAAGAAAGCCTCTGCCTCTTCGTGAGAGTGAAGAAAAGTTTGTCTTCAGAGAGCAAAGGACAAAACTGACTGGGAAAAAGATGCTTTATTTAGATAACGCGTTCTCTTTTTCTTTGAAGAAATTCACAATGTGTCAAGAAAAATTAGGCCAAATAGTGCTTTAATGGTCTTCCTCCTGTACCTCCTAAAAAAGAAACCCATTTCTAGCAATTGCATTAGGAATCTGCCATGAGTTTGGAGAAGAGAAGCAGCCCTTGGAGTTTTTCAGGGTTGTTGGTTTGGGGGTTGTCTGTTTTGTTGAATACTCTGTGGTAACGAAAAGTAGAATTTACAGTGAAACTCCATCTTCCTACCAGGGCATGCAGCTTTCCCTCCTTCTAGGGTAAAATTAAATGCTTTGTTTTTCATGAGGAAAAAAGGGCTGACAGGTACCAAACCTATGAAAAGGGTTAGTTGCTTCCTTTCTTGTCTTCTTTATTTGGAAAAACAGCATAAATTTACAGGGGTTACATTGCAGAAACAGGTCTGAGTTTTGTATTTTCCTGTGTAGGCCGTGAATACGCCATTAAGTATATATTTGTATGGGGTTTTTTGTTGAGAACTATATATGATTTTATGTGTATAAGTCTATATCCATATACAGATCATAATATTTGCAGTCTTCAACTGTACTAAGAAAAGGTAGAGAATTGTATTATGGATTCAAAGAATGAAAGGTTAGTTTTGTAGTTGGATTATGCATTACATCAGGTTATTCTGCTTACTGGGGTTGCTTTTTCATCATTGTGCCTCAGTTTATCTATAGAATGTGATAATCTATAATGTGAATATCATGATACAGAATGTGGTCAAGCACAAAGCATACTTAGATACTCTTCAGACCTTAAGAGTAGGCAAGGTTTAGTCATCAGAAGTATTTGGTCTGAAGATCTTCACAGGTGAAGATGAGGAGAATTAGGTAAGGGCTTCTTTCAGGGCAGCTTTTAAGACAAACTTAAGTCTCCGTTATGAAAGCATTATACAGATAGGTGCTTAATTTTCAAAACCAAAGTAGTTCTGCTGAGGTTTCTTGCTTCAAGGAAGTGTCTTATGTACATGGTTTTTTTGAAAGATTGGACATAGATGGCGTGTACAAAAGATGAACATTGTGTTCAGTGTGATAACACCAGATACAGAAATCTGAAAGAAATTCTATGGTACTCATTTTTCTTCTGGTCATTTCACTGTTTCCTAAGCTGTGGCAGGTAAGGATTTCTATTACATGGTCAAAATTGCACTTCACTGGATTTTTTTTGTGTGTGTGTGTCAATGCTAGGTTCTAATTTTGGCTCCAGATCACGTCGCTGTCTACTCATAGGATAAATAGTATGAGTTGTATTTTTCTGCTGATGGGTTGTGACGTGTAAAGACACTGTATTTCAAATCTTCTGAAATTGGTGTTCGGCCCAGTTCTGTCTCAGACACACAGTAACTAATTCACGGTTAATTCAAAGCTCCCGGTGCAGGTGAAATGAACTAGTGGCGTGCCTTCTCCTTAGCTGTCTGCAACCAACAGGAGATGCGCTCTGACAGACCACAGCATCTTCAGCAGCGGGGTACGTAACGAGACATCCTGTGTGTGCTCTTTTCCTCTCGTAGGCAAGGCAATTTTCCTGCCATGAATCAGAGCGGTATTATGGGATCCAGCTCCCCCTACACTCAGCCGATGAACAACAGCTCTGGCTTGATGAACCCGCAGGCTCCTCCTTACAGCATGGCACCCAACATGGTGAACAGTTCAACAGGTAATGGTGGGTAACCTTCCCCCAGCAGCCTTCCTCCATAAATCTGCGAAGGGTGCCAGCCTTGGGCTGGCGGCAGAGGGGCAGCCACCCTCAGCCGATTCACCCCCCCTGGGGAGTTGGGAGCGCTCCGCAGAGGCACTCTCTTTTGTACAGTGGCTCATGCATTTTTCATCGAGTCCGTTGGCGCAGCATGTAGATGAGCACAATGTTTCGAACAGTTCCAGCAACACTCGGACCCGGTTTGACGTAGGTGTTGACTAGCAAGTGTACATATATTTGTGTGTATGTGTCTGCAAGAGAGGGAGGGAGAAAAACCTCATCTTTTAAGAGGCTGCTGTTGCTTCTCAGTGCCTTACTTCCTAAGATTGCAATTTCAGATATTTAACGTGGTACTGGTTTAAAAAAGGAGATGTGCACCTGCTCTGACTTGAAGATGCTGTGAGTTGAGCACTTAAAATAATTACTCTGTTCTGAAAACACGGGCCTTATTTACTGTTTCCAAAATTCATATAACCGTATATAGGGTTCCTTCATTTACTTACTTAAATATCAGTATATGAAATCTAATCATAGTTTCCTTTTGCAAAAAAAAAAAAAAGGGCATATTCAGTGTAGCTGCTGGATTTATCCTTCCTACCATGACTTGTGAATTTAGGTTTATTTGCAGCTTTGTGCGTGACTATAAAGACAGGTGACTGTAGTTCTGTGCAAATGTGCCTTACAGTCTGTATTCAGCTTCAGCTCCTAACAATTATCCTCCATCAAGACGCTACTTCAGTAAAGATCAATTCTTTGATTGGGGTGGGCTTGGATGGAGTTTCAATGACCCTGAAGTGGATCCTCCCAAATACTTATTCCAGTCATGGAGTTTCTGTGCACGCTTTACTGATTACATTAGCCATTTCTCAAATGTTGGGGGTTTTGGAGTTTTTCTGAAAGCTGGATACGGTGATTCAATGTTTTTGTTTCTACTTTTGGTTTTGGTTGGTTTTTTTTTTTTAAGAGAATCCTTACTACTTAGGGTACTTACTGTACCTTACCTGGAGCCTGTGCTTTGGTATCTTCCTCCGTGCCCTGCTTAGCCAGTTTTGCTCCTTCATCCCTTGCCTTCTTCCCTGTCTTTCCTCCCTGTTAATGTTATATGTCCCTGCTTCCTGGGCAGAAAATGGCCACTGTCAGATTCTAGTGTCTAGTATGTCCAGAAGGTTTCTTTCCTCTGTGTAGGAGCTCCTGACACGTTTAACAGTCTTATTTCTCAAGAATATCATGTTACGGTTTTGCTTACCAGAGGAAACAGAAAGGAAGCTGTTAATCAGTAAGGTTTTTGAAGAAGACAAGACATGGAGGGGGGAGGAACCCAAAACAAAACCATAAAAAGGGCTTTTTCCAGTGCTGGCTTGGAAGCTGTTGGTTAGTCCAGACAGCATACTTCACCGTCTAGATGAAGAGGGAAAAGCTACTGAAAAGCCCATTAGATAATAGCTTGCTTTTCCCCCACCAGAGCTGTCCCAGGTAATATCATGTTTTGTTTGTGTAGTTATGTGTTTTGTCTGGCTTGCTGAAATAAAATTACTTCTGAGCATTGAAAGGGTGCTATAAATTCTGTTTTGCTATTAGCAGAAGTAATTTTTCCCCCTTTTCCTTTGGCCCCCAGAGCTGCAAAAATAACCAACAGCAAACAGATGGCAGAGTGCCCTGCCTAAGAAGATTTATGTATTCCTAAGGAATAACCAGTTTAAAGGAAGATTCACAGAGGTTTTTTTGTTCAGATAATTCAGCCATTCGTTATTTCATACAGTGGAAATCTGTTCAATGCAAGGCCATTTATCCTAGCAGTCTTTTGTATGGGGTAGTCATACTCTTTTTATTGTGTTATGCATTCTGAAATATTGGATTTTTAATAATTTAAACATTTATCAGGGTTTTTTCTGCCAGCGCATTTGTGAGGTTTTCTTTTGTTCCAGGTTTATTAATTCAAAGATTACCCAACGGAAAGTAAGCACGAGGTGAATGAGGGGAGTTCAGTGCACCTCGTTCCCTCTGTGTGGGAGCAGACACACGTCTAGGTTGCTTTGTGCAGCCGGTCTCCAAGAGCACGCAGATGGTGTTGGTACGGGTACAGGGCCGGGGTACAGAAAGAGAACATGGGATGCGAGCGTACTGCTGGGGACACATGCTTTTCCCCTCTCCTCACTCCTGGTTCTGCTTGGGTCGAAGAAATGAAGGGCAGGCTTCAGCCAAGTGTAAATACAGTCCGTGAAATGATCATGTCTTGAGCCAGGGGAGCACCTCGGAGTCAGCTCTGGCCCTGCGTTGGATGGGGTGGAGAACGTGCAGGTGATACCTACTTAGGGCGTTTTCTGTGACTCGGAGCCCAGCTCAGCTGTCTGGCTCTCGAGCCCTTGTCCCTGCTTGCGAAGGTCACGCATCCGTCGGGTGAGGCCGGGTCCACCCAGCGCGTAGGTCCAGAAGCACATCCAGCTGCGTGGCTGCTGCTGGAGTGAAGTGTGGGCGTTAGGTCACTTCCTCACACGCGCTGAGCATCAGTAACTGTGGTTTCAGTTAGAGCCCAGGGAAAAACTGAGATTAGCCACAGGGAGAGATGGGGTTCTTGGCCGTCTGGGTGTCGGAGAGTGCAGTTGTGGTGCGTGTTTTGAGGGAGGGAGGGAGGGAGGTTTTGGTTACATTCGTTTTAATCAAATGCACTTTTTGGTTTTATTCTGAAATTGAGGAAGATGGCTGGTGCTGATGGAATTGTTTTCACATGGTTTTGGAGCTTCCATACATGTAACACTGGTTTTACCACACGTTTTTAGTAGCATTTATAACTCATTATTGCCAGTTGATGCTTTTTTCTTTCTTTTTTTTAATAAATGTCACAATTGAAAGGAAAATTGTGCTGCAGATAGTCATCCTGGTACTTCAGCAGCAACTGCACATCAAACAACAGATCGCCAGCTTCTGCTGACGTAGAGCAGTTTAGAAATAGAGAAATTAGGAGATCAAAGAAAACAGATCCTTATGGATGGGATACTAGATCAGAACAATAACAAAAGCTTTGAGAAAAAGTGCCAGAATCCCTTCACAATTAGGGAACAAACTGCCGCTCAGAAAAATTGTGTAAGCCCACTCTCCTTTTGTGGTATGAGTTCACATTTTCTTCCATATACATTTTAGATTTTTTTTCTCCCCTATTTTTTAAATTCAGGCTTTGAAAATACATAATAAAAGGAAACTTACAAAACCCAAGCTAAATAAAACAAAAATTTCATCTTGTGAGCCTTGTGAACTCTAGCGAAAATTGTCACTTGAAAGAAGTAATGCGGAGTTTGGATTTCCCAGGTTTCCCTGTTGTGCTTGCACAGAAGCTGGCACTCGTAATCTCTGCTGCCTCTGGAGGTGAACAAAACAATACAGTGGCATTAATCTCTTCACTGCCGTAAGGATCCTTTCCTAATTTCACTGCCTCTGTCCTACTGAATCCTTCCATTTTTCGGGTATTATTATTGCCAACAAATTTTTAACATTGTAGTACTTCACATAAAACATAAAGTTCTAGGAAAAGTTATTTGCACTAAAGGGATTAAAAGGATGCTCTTAAAAATAACTTTAAAATAGATACAGCCCTTAACCTTTTCCTATGTATTATATATATTTGACTTTGTGTTTATTTGGATGAACCTCTGATCGAGAAAGCCATCGTATTTATGGATGTAAAGCATTTTTCAGAAATCTTAATTGGTTTTCTTTGTTTTGCAGCTTGGTTGTGTTTTTCTGAAAAATGGCAACCTCCATTTATTTCACTATTTTTTTGCTCTAACGCCTATGAGCTGTCATGTATTGCACATTTCAGTAAACCTTCTGGCGGATGTCAGTGGTTGGCATCAGCTGAACTGTGCCATCACCTGTGCTCCAAACAAGCGATGACCGTGCTCCAGTGGTCGTTGTGTGACTCAGGCCAGCTCCTGGCACGGAGATGCCCGCGCCCCAAACTGCGTGCGCTTGTCATCCCTCGGATGAGCCTTGGTAGGCAGGAAGGAGGTGCTGTTCTGCGGTTCTTGGTGCCCCGCTCGCCCCCTCACGTAAGGTGCCCGAGCGCCCTGGGCTGTGCCTTCCCCCAGAGACGGAGGGTCATTCGTGGCAGGGCATTAGACGATGCTGTTGTCCCTCTTCCGTTTTTCCTGTGGGCATAGAAGCAGTGGGGATCCTCTTGCCAACTCCACGAGTCACGCATCAGCTGCTTCTTCTTTTTCTTCTTTTTTTTTCGGAGAGAGAGTGCTAGGGGTGGAAGGGAGGAAGGAATGTCTTACAAAGGATGTAATATTCTGTTTTGTAGAGTGTGATTTGTTACTGCACTAGCAATAAAGAGAAAAACAGTGTTTGTGTATTGCTGCTCCTACAGTATTTCATCATCTTCTGGGAATGACAGAGCAGCCTTCAGCAAAAAAGAATACTTTGCTGCAGTTTTACTCATGTCAATATCTGCCTTTGAGTACATTAAATTCAGTGTGGAATAGTTAATTCAGGACCGTGACCCATACTTGCTTTTTGAAATCCTTCTAGCTCTTAAAGTCCCATAATAAGCCAGAGGCTAGTACTTGAAGCCTATTCACAGTACGCTGCAACACTTTCTGAGTCAAGATTTCCCTGTTATCCTCCTCTCTAAAATGCTTTATCCTTTGGTCTGCACTTCACACACAGAATTATTAGTACCTGTGTAGAAAGAGACCGTGCCTTATTTTAGTAGTTTCGTGACAATAACAGTATTTCACTGCTCAGAAAGGGTCAAAACAATGTTCTTGCTGTATTGCTTTGCTAAAAAAAAGCAAAGGGCTGTCTCTTTGGAAATTGCTGGAGAGTACGTTTGCAAGAAGTTATGAAACAGCGTTTCAGTCAGCAATGGGTTGAAAAGGAGCTATGGAAACATCTCAGGTGAAAGCTGCAGGGAAAACAGTCGACCTTGCGATTGGCCAGTAAAATCCTTGCGGTCCTCCTCTTACGGGCAGAAGGAGGGTGTAGATGAAGTAAACAGTTTAGAACAAAAATGGAAACAGAATTTGGGAAACTTGATTTCTCCCCCATAACTGTCTGACTCCTGACAGGGTTACTCGCACGTGCCAACGAGGAATGTTCAAAAGCCAAAATAAATCTGTATTTTTACACTTCTAAACATGGTTGATACAGCTGGAATATGCGCGGTGATTTGCAGACTAGAGCTACTTGCCCTTTACATGAGGCGTTAACTTAAATCTCTCTGGAAAAGAGATTTTATAAAGGAATTCTGATGGAGACAGGACTACCAGCAGTGGGCACAATTAGAAATAGGATGTGCCAACCTCGACAGCAGTGAGGTACCAGCAGAGGATTTAGCCATGCAGAATTCTGGTGAAGAAGCGTGATAACTTTGCTTTGTTTGACCTCTCTAAAATTGCTTTGAAGGGGAAGGTTCATCTTTGGTTGCTTCGAAATGAAAGCTATGACTTCTTTTTTAGCGCTTTCACAGCATGAAATGTGTTAAATGTTAAAAATGCATTGTGTGTAAGAGTTCTGCATCCCGGTTTGAAACCAGGCATTTGACCATTTTGTACATATAGTTTAAAAAAATATCTACAAGAAAAATAACTCTTTTTTTTTTTTTTTTTTTTTTAAACTGTGGAATTCAAAACTAAAATGTGTTAGGCTGCCATCCTTCGCTTCGTAATGGTCACAAGCTGCCCCAACTCCTCAGGGTATAAGGGCAAAATGCATACAAATCAAATGCTTCATGGATGCTGGCTTCCCAATATCATGTTGCTTGGCTGTTTTGTTGAGGTTTCGCACACATACATAAAAATAACAGCATTTTTAGCTGATCCCAATAGATTTTGCTCTGCAGCTGCATCACTTGAAAAAGGCTTTTTGTTCCAATTCTTGAAGTCTTAAGTATTACAAGTATTTTTTTTTTTAATCTCAATTATGATTTATGTGTTGTGATGACTTTAAGCGCTTGATTGGGCTACAAATGTGCTTTGAAAAAAAACCAAGAAAATGTGTCCATGAAAAACACCGGCAGGGCAAAGCTTGAGTATTGAGCATGCAGTTGTAAACTCGCATGGCACGTGGCTGGGTAGGTTTTTTTGGCAGACCCATAGTCTCAACCTGCAGTGATGCTAAAGATATTAGCAAATTAGCACTGCAGCGCTTGCCAGCGTATTCGCCAGAGTCCTGCTCATGCTCTCACGGCTGTAATTAAAACTAATTATTTTCTAAAACATAGTAATACATGAATATGTGCAATAATCGTTTTGTAGTGGGCAATCTGTGAAGTATTTTTAAAGCTTCTTTCCCCCTCCTCTCTTTGGCTCGCTATGCAGCGTGCCTGCTGCCTGGTGCAAGCCAGCATTGGCGTTTTGCAGAGGGACGCGCTCCTCCAGTAACCATCAGATTCTTTTCATATTTTCCTAAAATTCACATGTTTGGGATACATGTTTCTTCCTTTTTATTGCCTTGAAGGTTACTCTATCCTATGTTTTCTCTTGCCTCGGATCCTTCTTGGAAAGAAGGGCATGAGGGGGAGAAAAAGAGAGGAGGAAGGGAAGATAATGCAGCCTCTCCGAAGTGCTCTACACATGGTTTTCTGCAAGGAAAGAATCACCTGGTGTCCTGCTGTTGTTCTCTGGTTATTTGCGTCGATTCAGTGTCATGGCACCTTCTAGCATCTCGTCTGCCCGGTATTTTTCTGTCTGTTTATCTGAACGTTTCTCCTCGCATCTTTCTAGAAACCCAGGAACCCAGCAGCTCTGCAGCAGTAATACTATACTTAGCATTTGCATCTTCAAATAAAAACCTCCCTTTGGCTCCTCACACCCCGGGGAAGCAACTGCGTGCCATTGTCAGAGAAGGGCGTTTGTGCTTTCGTTGTAGCCCCACCTCACTTTGGCACGAGGGGGAGAAGTTGAGTGCCAGTTCTCCAACAGAGTGAAGTTTACAGCTTGTAGTTCTGTAGTTAAGGCTCACGTTGGCTGAGCCATTCCAACTGGAGTCGTTAGGGGCAGGAATTATCTGCTGGACACCAGTCTTAATGCGGGCGGAATTGGGAAATTCAGGATTTCTTTGCGAATTCAACATTGCAAGCAAAATGTGCATCATTTTCATTTACATTTCTCTGTTGCCCCCCCGGGCACGGCCAGTGGTTACTCAGGTGGACTGTCAGTCTGTTAAAGTGTGGGGGTCAAATGTGGAGTCAGCTGAAGAGCCCCAGCAGCGTGGAGAATGGATTTCACTTTGTAAAGTGGTGGTGGTGGTTGCGTGGTGCTTGCCTTGTTCGTTCTGTTCTGTTTCCTCACTCCAACTGAAGAGGTTTCCAGGTTTCCAGATTCTAGAATAACGGGACAGAGGTGGGATAACCTCTGCTTCACGTGGTGCCGCGGCCTTGCAGCAGGAAGCGTGCTTTTTCTATTTTTCCTACAGAACCAAACGTAGTCATGCTTAACTGTTTCTCCTGTTTTCGATTAGCACCTATGGGTCTTGCAGATATGATGACACCCGGTGAGTCCAAACTAGCCCTTCCTCTCAAAGCAGACGGCAAAGAAGAAGGACCCCCCCAGCCTGAGAGCAAGTCAAAGGTATTTACCACCTCCGCACGTGGTGTTGGTTCAGCCCGCAGTCTGCTGTGTTGTCCTTCATCCTCTGGTTTTGGCCTTCCCACTTCCGTTCTATCCTGCATGCCTTTCCATTCACGTGCAATCTCTTCGTTAGTTTCTTTTATTTTCTTTTATTTATTTATTTTTCTTTATTTTTTTCTTTTTTCCTTCAT